CAAAAACAAATCACAAAGAATCTGAAGAACGCAAGACACTTAACTGTACGACAGCAACGTAGCTAACCACTGCGACAGCTATTCGACACGGAAAATCACGTAGACAAAAACACGATTTACGTGCCACCACACACTATTTCGTAATGAAGTTTCAACAAACTTAGGGTGAAATGCCGCCCCCCCCGTTAACTTTTGACGTTACCGCGACCAATTACAAACCATTAAATTATTTCAGAAGCGTGTTTTTTACAATTCATTTAAATCAGCCACTCGTTCGGCGTGGGCGGCTGCGCGCGCGCTTTGCTGCCGCACAGTTCAGTTTCTTGCGTTTTCACATTCTTTGAAATTGGTTTTGAGTGTCGAGTGTCTGTACTACGATGGCAAGAATTGATGTGGCTTCTTGGTGAGAGCGCTTAGCGTAATTCGAGGCAGGGCTTAAGGAGTCTCCTCCTCCCCTTCCCCTGCTTCTCTAAGGTTGAATCATGCGCTATACTTTAACCGGTCTAGATTTCATATTGGATATAGTTTACAAGCAGAAATACTTTCCCTTACGACTTTTGCGAAGGTCCACTGCAATATTTGACAAATGATTGTTGAAGATGTTCACAACTTTCTCAGATGATACTGTTCTGACAATGTGAAATTTTTAGTATGCCTTACAGAATTCAATGAATGACAATCACAAATACTAATGATATTTAACATACTTGTACTACAATATCAACCAATATTTGTCATTCTAAGGGCCTGTTTCACCGATGCCTGTTTAAGTTTCGAATACTAATCCAACAGATATTTTATCCGTCAGATAAAAGTGCCTAATATTTATTTTGCGTTTCACCAATGTCTTTCTTGTTAAAATATCTGACATCTTTCTGATAAATAATCTGGCTGATTGCTGTTCCACCACCGGCAACGCCGCATTTTCGAGTCAAGCGCGCTCTGTGCGCGCGAATTCGAATGTGTTTTGATAATGGAAGTGTCAGGTGTTTTTCGCTTCATTGCAGTTTACTTCGGCGTGAGCTGTGTGCGAGATCTGTGTAAAACTTTGTTTTATTATGTCGTACTTCCTGTGTGTAAGAGTTCCAAAATGGAAAGGGGAAAGACGCGAGAAAGGAGTTAAAGCGCAGGCTTTCGAGGCCAGAATCAGTATTTAATTAGCTGTCCGGGTGACGCCACGTCCATGGCCGACGTTTCGGGCGCCATTCTGCGACCTTCCTCCGGACGTAATGCATTACGCAGAATGGCGACCGAAATGTCGGCATCTTCGCCATGGAATCGGGTCACCCGGATAGCCAATTAAATAAAGAGGAGTTAATATTACACGCGAGGAAACAAATTTGTATCCCTCGTGGCGGAGACGAAAAATATTAAATGTAACGTGGAGCTACCATGTGGTGCTACCATGTGGTAGGATAAGGATTGGAATGGATAGCTATTGAAAATATTTTTGGTGGGGGATGCTTTTTGCGAAGGGAAACATCTTCAATAAAAATATGAAGCTCTGAAGAGAAATAAAGAAAATCTTATTATAACTGTTCAAAGTTTTTATTGTTATTTTTAATTATAATGGAAATTATGCTTACTAAAAATGAATGATTTTGAAATCATAACTGGAGTACGGCATGGACATTGCAATTTTTGACATAATTATGCAGGATATCATTGAAAATGGATTCTTTAATTTCTATGGCCTATTTCTCATAAATTTTTCAATATTGAACTTTTCTCTGATGACCAGCCTATTATATAATATAAAAATAAATTTCTAAATATTATTCACTCCCTGAACAGAATTTTAGAGTGTATAATTTGCGATTAAATTCAGAAAATAAAAGTTAAGAGTAAATTGTCTTAAACTTCTCAACAGAATAAAGTCCATCACCGATTAAAATTATGTGTGAGAAGAACCATGCAATGAGAGTGATCTATTTTAGATACTAACAACACCAAAACAAATTTTACAAAAACTCCAAAGTTTAGGAAAGTTTAAAACAGATAAAAATGTGAGAAAAATATGATTGTCACTTGAATAATAATAATAATAATAATAATAATAATAATAATAATAATTCAAGTATTCTTTTGCTTTTTAATGACCATGAAAATGTTTTTCTTCAAAAAATATATTTTTATTTTAGAAAGGATATTGAAGTCGTAGGCTTCCGCGACCAGAGTCATGTGGGTGATCTGGGCTGTCCGGGTGACGCCGCGTCGAAGGCTGAGTTGCCGACGTTTCGACCATCCTGTCGTGGTCTTCCTCAGGGCTGGTCGCATACCAGCCCTGAGGAAGGCCACGACAGGATGGTCGAAACATCGGCAACTCAGCCTTCGACGCGGCGTCACCCGGACAGCCCAGATCACCCACTAGAAAGGATATTGTAACAAATGTGAAAAGATTTGACTTTAACATGGTATTAATCCATTCTAACTTGCTATTAATACAATGTTAGAATCAAATCTTTTCACAAACATTTGTGACAATGTTCTCGCTAAAATAAAAATTAATTATGAATAACGGACCCAGAAAATATTCTAGAATAATCTCCTTAAAGTAAGGATGTTCAAGTATGTTCTCATGATGGAAAGTATTTTTTTGTGATTGGATTTTCTCTTTTGAAATTTTTTTATATCGTTCAATATTTTTTGTAAAAATATCTGCTTAGTTTAACATGTTTTGGCAGTTTTCTACCAAATAATTTTATACCTTTTACTTACTACTTATATATTTTTTCACTTATACTTGATTTTTTAATGAAGTTCATTTCTTATTTCTACATAACATTTATTTTTGATTCTTTTATTTCATTCACTATATTCAAAATTTGTTGACATTTTATTTTCAGACTGATCATATCAATTTGGCCTATCTAACATATGTTGATGAGTGTAATTGACACATCGAATCGGTGTGTTGGACAATAAAGATTTCTTTTGAAGAAAAAAAAATATTGATTGTTAAAAAAGATAAGGATATTTGTGTTAAATTAATTTATTAGGAAACATTTCATAAAGATAGTTCACAAGACAATCACTATGTTGACTAAAACACTATAAAATCAGGTGATTGTATGGGAACATATGTACAATCTATTGCTGCGAGAACTCTTAGAAAATCTAGCAATTTCATAAAAATCTTCTTGGGTGATTTCTAGATTCTATGGAAGCTTCACAAGCTCACTCCATTTGAAGCAGTAGATTGCTCACCTCAATGAAGACTCAAATTATAATAAAAATGATCCTGTTGCAAAATAATGCGATTGAGAAGTTGGTTCATTGGTGATACCTCAGAATTGCTAACAAAACACAAAGTATAGGTTTTATTATTTTGACATACAATAAATTTAACAGGACCATTACTTCATCAGGACATTATAGAAATATAAGTCGATATTCACAAATCGTTTATTTTTTGTTCTATCAAAGACATAGCTGTGCTAACCGTAGTCTTCCTTAACCTAAAACAAGATTTGCAATCTTGTTCGTCAAGGATCTCAAAATATTCTGGACGACATGTTGTCTGGTCGGATGCTCTAAACCATCAAAGAATTCGTTGTTTATCATCTCTATTATGTTGTCCATCATGGATATACCACAGTTGTTCCTTGAAAATTAAATCAAGTTCACACACAAATTCTGTTTTTTTTGGAGTTGTCTACCAGATGAACATTAAAAAGCCTCTCCAATCTCCAGATTGTTTACCGAATACTTTAACCACTGGTTAGAATTATCAGGCACTTGTAAAACAAAATTTCAACATATCAGTAAGATGACTTCTGGCCATCAGACACTTAATTAAGCACAGGTGAAACAGGCCCTAAACATCTTCAACACACCATTACAATACAGGTCCTTTGTTTCTGAGACAATCATTTCAACATATGCACTATTACAAATCAATCATTAATTTGTTGTTTATTTTCTAGTTTTCAGAGCCTGTGTATAGTACTCCTGTCTTCAGGTGATATAAAATTTTACAATATTACATGAAATTAATTATAATTTTGTTAAAGCTTATAAATTTTTGGTATTTCCTTAGTTCTTAGTTATTTTCATTTATGGTTATTTCATGATTCACTCAATTCACAAATATATAAATTAATAATAAATTCCAATGCAATGAAATTGAAAGGAAATTATGCAGCCTACACCATACAAGAAGTGTCTAAGGTTTTGTTAGATGCCAAGATAATTTAAGAAAATTTCAAAAACAATGAAACAGATTTTGATTTAAAAATGCATTCCACCTTTTTTCATACTTGGGGTTACCAATTAAATTTTCATACTGTGTACAACACAAATGATGTCTTGCAACAGCAAGGATTCAATGAAAAGGCTGCCCCTTGTTACATATTTGCCATTCACATTTTGCATTATGGAACAGCAACTTTTTTGATACGCGTTTCTCAATCATTAGAATTCTTGCTATGTAAAGAATTGTTGTATTGCGAGTCTGAATATTCTACACAATGTTATTGCATTATTTGTGAGGAATGTTTTTTTAATTATTTAATATATCACAGTGTAGCACAAAATTTTATTTGTTGTTCTTCAGTATTAGATTCAGTGTGCATTACACTTTCTGGAATAACTTTCTGTGTAATTTTGCTCCAAAGCATTTTTGTTGCCACAGGCCATTGGTTTGTACTAAGTGTAAAAGAAGAGAAATATTTGTGCTAAAAATTCAATTGCTTCAACAAAATTGTAATTAATATTATGTGAAATTTAGATCCTACGCTTCCAAAACAACCAAGGTAAAAAAAGTAATGATCAATTTGTAATAGTTCTTATCTTGAAATGAGTGTTTTAAAAATACATATTATGCCACTGTTGAGTTAAAGCAAATATTTTGCAAGTATTTATTTCAAAAACCAAAATTGTTGATCTAATTTGAACATACCAAACAGCAGTGTCATACACATTCAAATTAATGGTTTCCTACCAATATTCAAAAAGCACATTCCTCCAATATGCAATTGAATTTTAAAAAATACACTTACTTTCAATGTCTCCTTGTCCAAGTATCGCCACCATGCTTCTTCTTTTTCCTGTATACAATACCATTATTTCAATCCATATTCACATACAACTATGACATATATGTCAGAACGGTTATGTGTAGCATCAGATACGGAATTTTTGTTTGAATCATTTTCCTCTTAATGTCATGTTAATTTATACACTGACAAACAAATCAATGTTTAATATGTTTCAGAAATACTTTAATGTAATAGACAAGAAGAAAATTGTTTAACAGCTAGCTATTAATTTTAAAACTGAGTATCATAGGAACATACCGTGCCTGAGGGATTATATTGTAAGGGTGTAGGAAAAGAATCCATTATTTTCAGCAGTAGGAACACCAAAAGACATAAAAGATCGATTAAAACTCTTGCACTTCTGTGAGTCTCTCTATTGTTTCAGTAAATACAGTTACACCATCAGGGAATACAAAATTTGAGGAGAATTCGTGCGTACTTGTGTGACACAAACTACAGTTATCTACAGCATTAACAGATCCAAACGGGATCCAAAAAAAAATACATGTGTGATGAATGCATGTGAAACTGGAGAGCTCTGCACTCTGGTGGCCACCGAGGATACTTCCAAGGACGTTATAATGTATGATCTTGTATCTTGGCCAGAGAGTACAGAATTTACAAAATGTCCAAGGAGGAAACAACGAAACTTCCATAAAAAGATCCTAAGACAATTTTAAGCATATTTTGTCTAATAAACTCCTTCGATATTTTTTTAATAGCTGAGCCATAATAAGCACTCACTAGGCACTGATATCAAAGACATAAACACAATTCATACATTTAAAAGTAAATTGAAAGCATTCCTTCTTAACATGTTCCATAGGGTAACTTGTTAACTTGTGTAACTTGTCTTAACATGTTATACAGGGTAAAGGAATTTTCAAATTACATTTCCCTTAAAAAATATAAATAAATTAGAATTTCTTATCCCATTAGACTTTCTGTTTCATGTGAACTGTTTCAAGCTGAAGCAAAGAAAAAAGACAGAACTGCATATCACATCCTGTGGAAATAGAAGGAGAATGAGAAGAGAGAAAAAACTGGTCATAACTTGCCTCCTCTCACCATTTCAAGTTTATAAATATAGAATGTACTACTATTGTTAAATTTGATATAGTTGCAAACATAATTGATATGTATTATTAATGTAATTATTATTAATATAATTATTATTATAAGTAGTAGCATTAAATAACATATTGAAATCTTAATTATTAGCAGATAATTTATCTACTGTATAATATCTTAATCTAACTGTAACACGTATTGTATTTCTAGGCAATGACCCCATCTCGATCAGGTTTTGTTCAGTTTCCCTGGTCCTTTGAGCAAATGCTGAGATGGCTTCTTGTTTGCTCTGAACGGTAATATAACTTCGCTCTTTCCAACCGGCAAATATTGACTCGTCATACACGATTGTAATTGTAATGTGACTCAATAATAATAAATAATAATAATAATAATAATAATATAATAATAATATAATAATAATAATAATAATTATTATTATTGTTATTATTATTACTCAAACGTTTGTTTTGAAAAGGCTTTCTATGAACATTTCTGTTTTAGTCCGTGAATTTCCACATATTTTCTTTTTTTATATTGCTCTATTTTTGTGTAGTTTGATGATAGATTGGCTATTTCGTGTGCTTTTTTTGACATGTTTCCCTTCAGAATGTTCACTTCTTGTTTTAGAAGTTTGCTTTCTTTGATATTTTCATCTAGCTTTTGGCCATCTCGTCGAATTTCTCCCCACATATGCTGGACGACTTGATTAATTTCTTGTATTAGTTTCTTCATACTCGGTGACATATCGTGGTCCAGTTTAAGAGGTCATTTTCAAAATCCCTGTTTTCATTTCTAGGTGAGAAATGAGCGTCCTTGTACGGTTTCGTTTTCTCTGCATTTTTAACACCGCCATTTTGATTTTGCATTCACGCGATTTCGCCCTTGGCTCTTTTCGATATTGAGCACGACCCGAAATGATACAATATTTTGGCATCCCATACACTTTACACCGTCTTCTGATATTTCTTATTCACATATGTTACACATTTTCATATTTGTGATGATAGAAAAAGCGAACTATGGTTTATAAAAAACAGTAAACAACTCTTGATAAGCCTTGAGCAACGGAGGTACACAGAGAAGACGTCCCACACACGTAACGAGTGCCGGAACAATAATGTACAATAATAATAATAATAATAAATAATAATAATAATAATAATAATAAATATAACAATAATAATAATAGACCAGGTGATGAGGCGAGATAGTGACTGCGATGGAGGCCACGGTCTGCAGTTTGGCACCCCGCAAAAAACGGAGATCGTGGTATTATAAGAAAAGAATCCCCATCATCTTACCCTACAACGGGAAATAAGAGAATCAGGGTAACTAACGAAACGGCTCCACAAAAGTATTGTCGGAGACCCGACCAGAAACTGACTTTCTAGGCCCCATATATAAGAAGGGCCGC